TCTCTCTCTCTCTGTGTGTCTGTGTCTCTCGCCCACAGGTTAACAGCGGTGGTTGCTCTTCCGTTTTACTGCGCCAGCCTCATTGAGACCGTCCAGGTCAGTACTGATTATTGATTATTGATTATTGATAATACTTAATGAGTAATATTTGATTAAAGTGACTAAAGGTCCAGTTAGTAGCAGTTCTGGAGCTTTCAGTAGCAGATCAATAATCAATAATAAGGGCCGTTGTGTTGTCTGTCTGAACTTCCTGTCGTGTCTCCACAGAGTGAGATCGTCCGTGACGACGCGTCCTCCGGCCTGCTGGATTGCGTCCGTGAAGGTCTGACGCGGTTGTTGGGCGTCGGTGCTCCTCACAGTCGCCGTCTGCTTCCTCTCAGCTCTATGCTTCTTCCTGCGGCGCTGCACGCCGTCCTGCGATACGCCATCGCTGCGTCCGTTCAGCGGGCTGCGCTGTGGCTGCACCAGCGGGGCAGGAAGCAGCGGGTGGACCCTAGCAACCCACTGGATGCCTACTTCCCTGAGCTGGCGGCGGCGTGGGCGGGGTCTCTGGTGGCCGACATCGTTCTGTTTCCTCTGGAGACGGCGCTGCACCGCCTCGGCCTGCAGGGCACGCGCACCATCATCGATGCCACCGACGGCGTGGTCGCCGTGGGGAACGGTGGAAGCCCGCTAGTCCTGCCCGTCAACACACAATACGACGGCTTCTCCGACTGCCTCCACGCCATCCGCCGTAAGGAGGGCGTGGGCGGGTTCTACCGCGGCTTTGGAGCGCTGGCGACGCAGTACGCGCTGCACGGAGCGCTGCTGGCTGCGGCCCGGACTGTACTGAGGCTGCTGCTGCTGGACGGGAAGAGCAGCTAGAGCCGCAGCATCACGTCCTGTACGTCGTCCACTGATGCGTCTCTGCGGAGTGCCGCCGATTATTTCTGCCGCCATGACAACCAGAGAAGAGAGAAATAGGGTGGATATTTGTTTTGTCATGGCGGCTGAATGTGACGGCTGGTTGGTGGTCAGAAAAACACCAAGATAATAAAACCAGAGAACGATGCGAGTACGAAACCTCCGAATATCTATAAAAACGACGTCAGGCAGAAAGTGGCACTATCAGGAACACCATAGCAACCACCATAGCAACCACCATAGCAACCACGTTTAACTGACCTAGCCTCCCCAAACTACATAGCAACCAACAGGAAGCCTGACAACCACCGTAGAAAGTTTAGCCTAGCTTAGCACAAAGACTGGAAGCAGGGGGAAACTGTTAGCCTAGACCCATCGCCTCAGGTCTCTGAGCGTCACTTCCTGATGTCACTTCCTGCCTTGAAATAAAATGTTGTGGTGATCGTGTGTCACCATGGAAACGCAGAGTCACTTCCTGTTCCAGCATGACAGCATGAGCTCATGATCCTGTTTAAAATAATATTGTTTAAATACTGAAAGCTGATTGGTCACCTACAGAGAAAACAAAAACACTTTTTATTTGTATAAAGATGTAAAAATGAAAGAAGTTCTATGTATTCAAATAAATGTAGATTTAGATTAAGTTATATGTGATTGATAAATATTTAAATCATTATTCAAATAAAGAAAAATAATAAATAAATTGATCAGCTGAATCTGGTGTCAATTTTTCAAAATAAATGCCAAAAGGTTTGAAATATTCAGCTGTTTTTCCTTTTTAAAATCACTGGTTCGTATTTGTTGTAAATGTCACATGTTGAAACTCGTGTTGTCGAAAAATAAAACTGCTGTAAATTTGTTTTCATGTGAAATAAAATCAGCTGTGTGGAGACGCTGCTTCTTATTCAATTTAACTGAACAAGTATAAGTTAATTCAATTCAATTTCATTTGTATAGTGCCAATTCATAACAGAAGTTATCTCAGGACACTTCAAACTAACCCTAGGACAGAGAGAGAGAGACAGAGAGAAGCAACTACACCAATACACTAATGAACATGAAGAAGATAGTTAATTTTCTGACTGTATATATTAACACTGATAAACACCCAGAGAGATTACTTCATTTACTTCATTTGTAATAAAATACAAATAAATATATATTCATGTTAAGTTTAGGTTTGTTTATCAGTAAGTTTTATAAAATCATATTTTAATGAGTTTAAATGAAAAATTAATACAAAAACATCCAAATTTAATTTGCTTTCATTTTTTACTCACTCATTTAATATAATATATAATATTTAGTTTTGTTTGTAACTTTTTTTTTTTACTAAATTGTTTCTCCAGCATTTTCATTTTAAAAAAATATATTTCTTATTATTAGTAGTTTTATTTATTTTTTTATTATCTTTATATAATATATTTGTGTTCTTTTTGATTTATTGTGCACAATTGCATTTTATTTTTTTCCACCAGAAATTATTATTGTTGTTATTTTCTATGATCGCAGTCGGAACCGGAGTTCGTCCTCCGGGCGGAACCTTCATTGTGGTGTTCGTTGTTTCCGGTCGGACTCAGTTCCTCGGCGCCCCTCCATGTGTTCCGTCCCCGTTAAGCTCGGTCTCTCCGGTTCGTCGCTTTCTTCGTTAGTTTTCGGCTTTTATCCGGTAGAGTCCTCCGTTATTACCGGTCATGCCGAGTGGCGGGAGTTGTTTGTTCTCCGGTTTCCGGGTTCTGGGACTTTATTCCAACCACGTGCCGCACGCGCTCAGGTACCACAAGAAGCACCGGGAGTTTTACCTGGTGACGGCGGTCGGTAAATGTTTCCACACCTACAACGTAAGAACATTTTATATCAATGTGTTTTATTTATTTATTGAAATGTGTCCACCGACGGCTCCCGTACACACTGTCAACATGCTGATAGCAGCTGATCGTGGTTATCGATTAATGTACGAACAGGAAGTGACTGATTCAATTATCTGCGGACACAGACTGATCAGCTCTAATATAAACTTTATTGATTGATAGACTGATCAGCTCTAATATAAGAGATGGTTCAGGACTCACCTGATCCAGCCCTAACTATAAGCTTTATCAAAGAGGAACCGTCTTAAGCCTACTCTTAAATGTGGAACGAGGGTGTCTGCCTCCAGACCACAACTGGAAGCTGGTTCCACAGGAGAGGAGCTTGGTAACTGAAGGGCTCTGGCCTGTTCTACTTTTAGAGATTATAGGAAACCACAAGCTAGCCCAGCCATTCAGAGAACGTTAGAGTTCTAGAGGGGTAATATGGGTACTATGAGCTCTTCAAGTTATGAAGGTCCTACCATTGAAGAGCTTTATTTAGCGCCTGAGGAGGAGGATTTTAATTCTAATTCTAAAATTTAACAGGGAGCCAATTGCAGAGAAGCTAGAACAAGGAGATATCGATCTCTTTTCCTATGTCCTGTCAGACTCGCTGCTGCAAGCGTTTGAATTAATTGGAGCGGTTGTTTAACGGGACTTATTAGCGGCAACCTGATAATAAAAGAGCTTGGCCAGTAATTTCCAGCCTTGAAGCTAAACAGGAAGAGAACAAATGAAACACCTCAATGGTTATTCACATATTTCACTCGTTGAAAACATCAATCAATCAATCAATCAAATCAATCAACTATCTGCCTCCAGCACATTTCATGAAAATGAAATAAAGTAGATTAAAAAATAAAATGTAACAGAAATTCTGTTTTACAAAGTTTAAATACAAAGTGAAACTATTCTGGTTTAATTAAGACAGAAATAACAATAATAATTATAATCTGTCATAATGATTAATATTATCGTTATTCAGGTTATATTATTATACATTATGGTTTGTATAGGTATACTATATAGATTATTATCAGAATTTAAAGAGACAGACTGATCAGCGTTATTTTGAATCGCTCTGATCTATTGATTACAGGTGAACAGGTTGGGATCGTCTCAGTCAGGTGAGTACTTTAAAGCTTTATAATTCACTCTGGATGATGCTGCTGAGTGTTTCTGCCCTCTCTGATTGGCTGCTGCTGTTCTCATGGGATGCTTGGTGAGTTTCCCTACGCGTAACAGCCTTTCAGATGACATCAGTCTGCGTGGGCAGCAGACCGGGATGTTGGTGTTCGCTGCCGCCCGGGTCGCCCTCATCTGCGCCTTCGCCCAGGAACAAAGAGCGTAATAAAACTTTATTTATTCTTCTGCTGATTGTAAATGGAACAAAAATAAAACAAACGCATTCATTTAAAGTGTTTCTTCGTTATTTACTGATACTAACAATAACAACAATAACAACAATAAACAAATAATAACGAGTCGTTGGTGCGGAGTCATCCTGCTTGGGAGTCCGGGGCCGGTTAAATAAATGAATATTTTGACCCAGTTTTGCTCTCCGTACAGCGTCGGTGATGCGTTACCATGGACACAGACAGGAAAGTGCGCTCGTGCTTCCTCTGGGCGATCAGCTGATCTCTGCTGACAGCGGCTGGTGATGTCATCGGTGTGCTGGATGTCCAGGAGGAGCGTGAGGGGGCCGGGGGCTTCACTTACTCCTTTATCTTCCTGTCGTGGTGTTACCACATCATGCCTTGCCTCTCTCTGTCTCTCAGCGTTTACCTGCGACTGCAGTTTGACCCGCACCTTTGCCGTGTCCGCCCATTGATGCCACCCCAGCACCTACCTGAACAAGGTGCTGCTGGGGAAGCTCCCAGCGGTTGCATTGCGCCCCCCTGGAAACATCAAGACCAGGCTTGCATGTTAGCATCCCAGGCTAACGCGTCTCTAGCCTCTCGTCAGCATGGGCATGATGTCATAAAATACTTATTGTTTGGTTTTATGATGATGATTGATGATGATTGATGATGATGACATAACTTTAAAATAAGTGACGTGGTACTGATGGGTTAATTATCTGTGTTGTTGTCTTGCAGTAAGGTTGTTGTTTACGTTCCCTGGAATGGTCAGCAGGGGGAGTCACAGTTCTACAAGCAGGTCAGCAACAAACAAACCAAAACAAACAAACAAACCAAAAACAACTGGGGGGGGGCGGTCTGTGTCACTGACACTTATAACGTTAGCACGGTAACGGTAAAGTAGCTCCTCAACAGGAGGGAAAACGAGATGTAATAATTAATAAATTACATTGAAATAATTTTTCTTATAATCATTTTTGTAAACAGGTTACAACGTCGTCATAGCAAACATTAGCTGCTCTACATTATTTTGAAAAAGACATTTTTTAATTATTTCTTGTTCTCCACAGGGTCCCGCAGGTGGACGTGGCGGTGTCGCACGCGAAACCGGTCGATCTCATCCACCAACATCCGATTGGACGGGAGACGCCTGGATTGAGCTTCACACAGGACTGCGGGACCAATCAGCCTCGCATCGCTTTCAAACAGGTATCAGGTTGGTAGTCTCTTCTCTCTCTCTCTCTCTCTCTCTCTCTTCTCTCGTCTCTCTGGTCTCTCTTCTCTCTCTGCTCTCTCTCTTCTCTCTCTCTCTCTCTCTGGTTCTCTCTCTCTCTCTCTCTGTCTCTCTCTGTCTCTCTCTCTCTCTCTCTCGTCTCTCTTGCTCTGGTCTCTCTCTCTGTCTCTCTCTCTCTCTTCTCTGTCTGTCGTCTGTCTGTCTTGTCTGTCTTCTTCTCTGCTCTCTCTCTCGTCTCTGTCTGTCTCTCTCTGTCTCTCTCTCTCTCGTGCTCTCTCTCTCTGTCTCTCGTATCCCCCTCTTT